ATTTTGTACTATTCTTTGTTTATTGTCTCAGTTGAATTTCAGAAAACTTGTATTGACTCCTTTGAAAAAAAATCCAATGGAGACTTTTATCGCCATTGCATTAGCTCTATAAATTCATTTGAGTTGAGTTATTATTTTATAATACTTAATTTTTCTACCTTGAAACATGCTATTTCTGCAGAAGAAACTTCAAAACAAGACTTGAGTGCTTGGTGACTTGTTTGCTCTATGAACTAAAGGAGAAGGAAGAATCAAAAATGTTTCTGAGGTTTGTGGTCTGAGTGACTAAGAGGAGCTTAATATAAGCCAGCAGAGTATTGCTAAGGGTTATCAAAAAGAAGAAAGATTTTTCAATGTTACTTTGCAGGACAGAAAACAGGTTTCAAAATTACCAGGAGACAGATTCAGCCATATATACTAAACCATTTTACATAGTAGAGCTTTCCAAAACTGAAAAATCTGCTGTGTAAGGATGTAAACCCTTTACCTACTGAGGATGGATTTCTAATATCAAGAAGACAGCCTGCCTATTTCTTTTTGGGGGGGGATATTTAGATTTAATATTTTATTTAATTTATTTTAATGGAAGTACTGGAGATTGAATCCAGAACCTTGTGCATGCTAAGCATGTGCTCTACCACTGAGCTATACCCTCCCCTCTCCTATTTCTAATAGTCTGTGTTGACTACTTGTTCTCCAAATGACCTCAGTATAATTGACACAAGGGATTGGAATAATTCATGAAGAAGTGTAAAAGAAGATCAGAGTCAAGGATGGGCTTCAGTTAGTGCTCAAAGGAAGGAGAAAGAGGAGCCAAAAGGAAAGAGACGATTTAGTCAAAGAAGTAAACCAAGAAAAATCATAGAACCATGGATGACAATGGGGGAAAAGGAAAAGTCGGCCAATAGGCAAATACCACAGAGAGGGTGAATAGGTTAAAGCTTAGAGTCACTAGATTTGAAAAGAAAGTCCTCAATGGAGGACTTGGAGAGTGAAGTTTCAGTAGATCTATTTGACAATAGAATGATAGCTGATGGCACTCTAAAGTCAAGTGAAGGTTTATTTTTTTCAGGATGAAGAGGTTGTGCTTGTCTGAAGTTCAAAGTTCAGACAGTAAAGATTTAGAGATACAAAATGCAATAGGTCCCCGGCCTTTGTAGCTTCAATATTCCTGATTCCTACCATTTGTTAATGACTCCACAATCCAAGACAGGTGGTAGTTTTTAAATTTTGCCAAGGCTCACACTGGAATCCTGTCTGCTGTGAAACTGCCATACAGGAGTGGGTTACGGCCAACATCTATATCATATCACACCTTTGCTCTTCTCGACTAATTTCTATATATATTGTAACCATCATAAAGTGGTAGGCACTATACTTCTTTACAGATCCAGGTAAGATCATGGATAATGTTGCTGTTAAGATGATGTCCTATGACAAATTACTTTAGTCCAGTTGACCTTTGAACAATGTGGGGTTTAGGGGTGCTGACCCTCCTTGCAGTAGAAAATTCTAGTATAATTTATAGTGGACTCTTGGTATCTGCGTTTCCTCTGTATCTGCAATTCCACATCCACAGATTCAACCAACCGCTCCTCAGAGCAGGAGCTGAGAAAGCAAACTGTGCTGATAATAACCCAGTGGTGGGATGGTCTGGGGCATCCAGCCACGGCTAGGTGGGAGGATCATCAGAGTGGTGGGGAGGGAGGCATGGAAGCAGCTGATCAGAGAATCAAGAGTGGATGTGACAGATAAAATAAAACCAAGGCACAGACATATAGAGGTTTCTGTGAGAGCGGAGCAGAGCAGGAACATGGGAGAAAGAATAAAGAGGAAGCAGTGGCATCTTGAAAGTGGAACGGAGCCATATATCGATGACGAAGTCTAGAGCGCCCTCAGTGCTGGTAGGTGAGGACATGCGTGTCTGTGTCCTGCAGTGAAGTGAGCATCATAGTTGCTGACATTACCACAGAAGGAGCTGAGAAGGAAAGGAGGAATCTGACATGGTTCCTGAAGTTTCCCAGAACAGAATAAATGGTATTAGAAGATACTGGTCATGATCTTGAGGTGGTTAAGCCCGTGGTAGTTGAGACTTCGGATGATAACACATAGAGAAAGACTGTAGGAAGCAGTGGGGTTTGAGATCTCATTGCAGAAGAGTTTAAGGAGCCAGCATGTTAACACTCAAAGCAGTTGCTGAAGTTTAAAGACAAGGCAAGATTTGCTTCCATGAAGATTGACTTCAGCATTATTTCTTCAGAATATGTTGGAGAGGTAAGCATAGATTTTTCAGTCTTGTTTAGAACACTGGGTATTATTTGAATGTGGTATCAGGAGGCTGCCTTGCTCTTGTGATTAAAAAGAATGAAAGAAACAAAATTAGTCCAGGATGAAAGTAGAATTCAAGCACACAGTGAACAAATACTTGTCTATCACCCCTTGACTCCACAGCTGAACAGAACAGGCAGTCCCATGGTTTCATTAGTCTTCTCAAAACTCATCTTTGCTAAATCAGCTTCAACTGTGTGACCCAGCTAACAGAAAGAGCAAATGGAAATGAAGTTTTTAGTAAGATGGAGAGATATAAAACCAGTGATAAATGTTTAACATGCCGCACATGTTAGCCATATTTCCAGCCATATTTCTTTGGCAGCTGGGGTTTTTTATTTTGTTTTGTTGCCTTCAAGTTTCCAGGGAGGAACCTACCTCCACACCCTCTTTGCCTTCATCCCAGTCCCCCACTCAGCAAGAGGTCCTGGAAAGCATCAAGGTCATAAATAGAGAACATGACAACAAGTAATGATTTTAATAGCTCCCATTATTGAATGTCTCCTTTGTGCGCAGTTTAGGCTCAATACTCCATGTGGCTTATCCCAGTTAGTTATTAAAATAACCGTGATCTTAACTCTATCTTGCAGACTGGGTGGTACAGAGCTGCAGTAGGGATTCAGCAATGTCCTCAAAGCACCAGGTTCCTTCATGTTCCCGCTCTGCCCTCCTAGCGATAGGAAGCACTCCCCTAGTCTGTGTCTATGTTCAAGTAGGAATAAGCAGAAGAGACTGGAGCAACAAACTTCCACTTGCCTTGATTCGGCCAGAACTGATCCCTAGTACGTTATTCAGGGTTCATGCTGGTTCCAGACAACAGAATTCACTCTAGCTAGTTTAAACAGCAAGGAGTTTTAAAAGACATACAGCAAGTTCCTAAATCATGTGGGAGGGCTGAAAAGACTCCTGAACCCGGAAAGTCACCAGAGAATTGGGCCATCCAGGGAGGGAGCTGCTGCCTCTTTCACAATCCAGCAGTTGCTGAATTAAGAGGCCATCTTCTCCAACAGGAAGCCAGTGCCACAGTCATCAGATCCTAGATGTATCTGCCACAGCCAGGAAGCAATTCAACCCAAAAGCACTAGCTCTCAGGGGAGGCCAGCTCTGCTGAGACCCATGCCAGCAACAGAGATCCTCAGAACTCCTTCCTTGCTCCCTGCCACTGAACTTGATTCCCAAACGAATTCTCGTGGTCCTCTCTCCATGTGACTCAGTTCTGAATCAAGGATAAATGATTAATAAAACTTAAATCATGTGTGGAGTCTCAGCTGCAATGGTAGCTGAAGGCTCTGCGAGGTGAGTATTTTAGCTTTCCAATCTCTGTAGCAGATTTGGCAAGCAAGAGAGAAAATGTTGGAACAGAGCTTGAATACACCAAACCATTACATTAGCCATGATTTTTCTGGAAGTTTGGGAAAGCTGGTGTATGGTCAGTCATCCTTCCTTTCCTCCATCCTAGGTGTCCTGTCTCCATATATCATCTTATTTAATCCTCACCTCAACCTTTTAATGAAATATTACTATCCCCATTTCCTAGATAAGGAAACTGAAGCTCCTAAAGGTTAAATGATAATGTTCAATGTATTATAATAACTACAATGGAATATAATCTGGAAAAATAACCCAAGTGAATCACTGTGCTATACACATGAAACTAACACAATATTATAAATCAACTAACTTCAATAAATAAAAAATTAAAAAAATAATGTTCAAGAAAGTAGCAGAATCGAGATTTGAACCAAAGTCCATTTTCCACAATTCTCATGTGGTAGAATTTATGTGTTTGCTTTGCTGAAACTGAACACCAAAAATAGTGGGTTCTCTCTAGTCTCAAATTGCTTGCTCCTCACTATGAATCACTGGCTTGCAAAGAGCTGGAGAGCCCTGGTGCTCTCCCATCTCCACACCTTTGCTCCAGCAATGTTCTTAATTGCTTGAGTTTTTTGATCCTGGGGACGACCTGAGAAGCGAGATGATGTGTGTTTCAGGACTGTACTGGGTGAAAGAGAAGGAAACATTTATCTATCAGCTCACGTCTTCCATTGGCCAAAGAATCCTACCATGAGGTATAACTGTCCTTTCCCCCATATCTGACTACTCAAATCCTAGACATTGATTCAAGCCCAGAGCAGCAATCTCTCCTCAAAGACTTGTCCAGTCTCGCTGCCAAAAGGTAGTCCTACCTTTCCTGAATCGCCCGCATATTTTCTTTGTACCTCCCTTCAAACATTTTCCACAGTCAACTTGTATAATCACCCCATTCATATGATAACTTCCTTGAAGACAAGAATGATGACATTTATCACTTTTGTTCTTTAAAGCTTCTGGTACAGTGCAGGAGTGTAGACAGGGTTCACTAGATGAATAATAAATAAATGGATACATTTCCCCAGGGAGGTGCCCTCCTCTTTAAAATATTAGATAATCCATATCTGGGTAATTACAAATCAATTGCTCTAGTTTTCTAGTGTTTTTCGAGAGAAAGACTTTCTTCCATTACCACATCAATATCTAATGAGCCCTCATCAGTTAATGTAATAGAATGTTTTTTACATGTTTATTTGCTCTGTGGTTTTTAACATTTTTTTTAATGAACTAATAAAACAGAACAAGACTACATCTTTGGAGCTGAAATGAGTTCACTTTCTCTTTGGAACAACCACAATAAGACAGTTTTTACACTAGTTCAAGCATTTGCCATAAGTTACACTTCATCAGGCCAAAAAAAGGGCAGCAAATCATGAAAGTGAAGCATCAAGGAGTCTCCACGCTCTATACTTAATCCATTCAATTTCCTGCTGAAGTAGAATTTCCTCCATTACTGTCAGCCCTTCCAATCAGCCTAGAGCAGCAGCCTCCTTAGTTTCTTCTGGAAACTTTCCACTTTGGAACCCCCAAAGAGTGGCCAGCAGTCACCAAGGAGGGTTCTCTCCTGCTGTGTGCTTAATGAAACTGGTAGACCGGCAGCTTCCTTCTGGTTGTCATGGAAATGAGCAGGGTCACTGGCCCTCTGAAAACAGAAAAGAACAGCAAGTGCAAGGGCAGGCATTCGGTCCTGCCTCGCAGATTAAACCAGCTGTCAAGGCAGAGTGAAGGATCAGCCAGAGGTCCGGGCAGCGGAGCAACCAGCCTCGCGTTGGAACTCCGAGATGTGAGTAATTTCTCTGTTCTTTTTGGAAAAGCATGTCTAGCTTGACGGACGGTTTTTAATAGCTTCAGAATTTCTGCTGCATGGCAGGAAAAGTTCTGTGACAGTTTGAAGAGCCACCAAGTTGGAGTCACCTTCTTGTAGTGTTTGCATTTCCTGAACATAAAGCACACTTATAAGTGAGTCATTTTCACCACTAAACACTCCTTAAACTTCCAGGCATGTGAATTGCTCTTTACTGAGATTCTGCCTTTAAAAGGAAATGTTTTCAGTACATTAAGCAAAGAATGAAACGGTCTTCTCATTAGTCCCTAAATAGATAAACTCATTTAGGTTAATATTACGTAACAGATATCTCTGTGGAATCTGGTTTTCTTGTTTCCATGTTGAAAATTTGGCTTTATTTTCCTGTCAGTCTTTAATGCTCAGTAACAAATGAAGGCGGTATCTCTTTTCCTCATCATGATCACAAACAAAACTAGGAATTCTCAAAACATCAGCTTTTATTGTTCCTTTGCTCTGCTTTTATCTAGTGGTATTGAATTTACTGCTTATTTTCACACAATGCATTAGAAAACATAAGAAGACAAGAAACCAAGCTCAGATGAGCATTAACATTTGGATTGGTTAGTTAACTTAAAACAAAAATTGATCCTTGTATTCAAAAGTGAAACAAACATGATAAATATTGTAGTAAAAGGGAAGATGCTGGGGACGTTTTTGTCAAAACCAGTAATCTTTACACGGTCCTGCATATTTTCACTTTTTAATAAGTATGTTTTGGGGCAGGTTTTTTTGTTTGTTTGTTTTTAGCAATAAGTGTATTGGCGTGCACTGAGAAAAGAAAGTGTTTCGAAAGAATTGTGCACAGTATTTATAAAAACCTGTCCTTAAAAACTACCCCAAAATATCAGACCTCATTTGCTTGAAATTTTTTTAATGAAAAGAACTATCTTTAGGATATTTTTAGACCAAATAATGCAATGTAGTGCAATATTTAAAAAATTTTTTGAAAGATAAAAAGATTTCTCATTTACTTTTTTTTAAAACAAAATTGGGCATTTCGTGAAAATAACGGTTTCAGTAAAGTGTCTATGGAAATGAGTATTTTTCAACAGCTGACTTGGATCTCCCAATTTTCTTTTTCCCATCAACATTTTTATTGCTCAAACGTACTATACAACCCACTTTTAAAATTCAGATTCTGACGGATCATGTCTCCATGTGAGTGGAGAGAAGAGACAAATCACACAGTGTATAATCTAGGGGCCAGATGTGCCAAGCTGGGGTTGGAGCACCACTGATTGCTGCTCATTAGCTGAGTGTATAGCAAGCCATCCACGGGAAAGGCTTGAGGAGGGTGCAACCATTGGTTAATTAACTCTTATAAGGACCTGTGTTGAGCAGAAAGGAGCAGTAGCTACATATTTTAGTTGAGACTTCCCCTTTGGCTCGCTCTCTGTCTTTGTCCCACATTCCACGACTGTTAACAGAAGCAGCATTCAACCAGTGTTGCCCTTATTTTAAAATCTACATGTTTCTTAAAAAAGAAAGTGTTATAATGTCTGTGCATAACAGAATTTACTTCATTCCTTTTGCATCTTTTGTATCCTATTCATCTAGCATGAGGTTTCTATACACACTTTAGCTTAAAGACTGCAGAGTCTAGCAATAAATAGGATATGAGGCATGGAATGTGATTTGAGTAGGAACACGACCCTGGGGTGGGAAATAACACTGTAATTTCTACCACGACTCCCTCAAGTAGATTTGGCTATCTGGCTTCAGGTCTTAGTTGTTTCCTTCTGGCTCTGTGACTTTGACCAATCTATTTAACCTCTCTGTGTCTCCATTTTCTGATATGAAAATAGAGCAATAATATCTACCTTTACGATTACTGCAAGAGTTAAGTGGCATAAAACATGTAAAGCGCTTCAAGCAGTACCCAGCATGAAAGAAGCACTTATTAAATGTTATTACTAATCATTAAAAAACACATATAATTCCTAATTTCAGTCATTTTTCAACCCACATTTCTTATTTGGAAGTCCACTCCCTCTCATCAATTTTCTATGGCTAGCTAGGTTAGCCTTGGGAACTCAGGGCTGAGGGGCAGTAAATGTTGGTGCAGTAAGATGCTGTTACAATAGCATCCTTACCTAGTAGTCTAAACTCTCTTGAGAATCAAGAGCTGTGTATCTGACAAGTTAAGTTGGAGGGGTCTGTTAGCTATTTAGGTACAGTTAGCAAGTAAGATGCTAGATATATGAGCATGAAGCTCAGGGCAGGGTTCGGGACCTGGTTAGTCATCAGCATACAGATAATATTTAAATCCATGAGTTGGCATGGAGTCACCAAGGGAGTGGATGCACATAGAGAAGAGAGCCAGGCACTGATCCAGGGGCGTGCAACAACCTCAGGGAAGAGGAGATTCCAGCCAACTACTGGGAAGGAGTGGCCATTGAGGTAGCAAGGAAAAGAGGAGGATGTGGTGTCCTGGAAGAACAGCAAGTCCTTGCTCAGGAAGGAGGGAGTAGGCAACCACGTCAAATGCTGGTGAGAAGTCAAGCAGAATGAGACGAGGAAATTAACCATAGGATTTTGCACCCTGGGAGATGAGAGTCATTGGGAACCTGGTGACAAGCACCCCAATAGAGTGACCAGAAGAACAGCCTGAGTAGAGTGGCTTAAAATCTAACACCAGCAGGCACTGGGCTCTCTGTATGATTATGGATTTGCTTGCAAAATGCTGTTTTTAAATTTCTTTCATGGTTGACTGATGTGGACCAATAAGAAAAACAGGATTGAGGCAGGCAAGAACTATCATCCATGCACCTAGTTTACTAAAGATTCATGAAAGATCTGAAGACAGTTTAAGAGATGAGGGTGGTTCCTCAGCAGATGAGAAACAGAAAACAGTCCTAGACACAGAGGGCAACATAAGCAGCACGAGGGAGGCCACACACAAAAGGAGACAATACACACACACACCCCCATCAGGACTTGTTCTCCCAATATCCCCTGACGCCTCTCCTTTCTAGTTTTGATCCATTTCCCATAAAAGGATCACTGCTCATTTGCGTCTCTGAAATGCCTGGTCCCCAAGGTTATTAAGGAAGCTGGGATCTTCTCTGTGGCCAGGAGTTCTAAAAAATTCATTTGGAGCCATGCCTAGTCACCACTTCATGGATATTCAGTTTAGCCCAAATTGTGATGCCCAGATTATGCACTGGAGCTCTGCTCTTGTCACCAAAATTACCATCAATGAGTCATCAATGAGATCAGGAGACATTCTTTTCAAATAAAAGTCTTATTTTAGAATAGCTTTAGACATACAGAAAAATTGTGAACATAGCACAGAGAGTTCCCTCCATCCAGCCTCCCCGGTTATTAACATCTTACGTAACTATGGTAATACATTCGTCACCATTAATGAACTAATACTGATACATTATTATTATTAACTAATGTCCATAGTTTATTCCAATTTTTTAGATTTTTACTTAGTGTCCTTTTTCTGTTCCAGGATCCCACATTACCTTTAGTTGTCATTCCCAGGAGGCATTTAAAAACCCTTAAACATCTTCCAAGGAAGCAGCAAGGTTTAAACTGTCTTTGGTTCCAATATTTATAACTAAAACCACTAAAGGAAAATTTAATTCTTACTTTTCTAAAATCTAATAGTTGAATACAGATGAAAGGAAAAAGCTTAAGGCTTACATCTTAAGGAAATAGTTTAAAGTATTTATGGAGTTATAATAATGTACAACTGTAAGTGGAAGGTCTGAATCCCTTTTTATTGTTCTGGAAGCAGGTAATTAAAATATTAAATGTCTGCCAGCATTTTTTTTGTTTCTCATCTCCTAGCAAAGGGATTACTCTGACTTATTTTCCTTGGCAACCTCACACTCATATAATACAGGCCCAGTAATTTGAGCAAAGCTCTCCCTGAGTTAGTTTTATAAGACTGGATGCTTAAATGTTAGACTGTGGGGAAGTTTGCAGCAGGGGTTATTATAATCCCTCAGCCGAGAGTAATTGGGGTGATGGCTTCTGATGCTCACAAATGTCTGTGAGATCAATATATGCTGACTCTGCTCATGATTTCCTTCAGCTTGGGAAGCTGTCTGCAGTGAGGCAGAAGATCAGTGACCTGGGGCCCTGACCTGGGGTCCTGACGTGCGGCTCATGGTCCCCATCCTGAGTGTGTTTTCCCTGTGTCTCCAGCAGATCCACAGAAAAGTCCCAAGACACCTGCAAACTTAGACAATGCTCATTGGTGAAGTCATAAGAGGTCGGGGATGTCTCACGGGACTTCTGTGGGACTTTTGCCAGACGTCATTCAGTGACCTTTAAGGAGGCTCACAGGTAAAGCATAGGACACTGAGCTCAAGTGGCCCACCCCCTTATTCATACCCACAATCTGACTCTGCTTCCTCTAGGCTAGGCCATACGCTGAAATTCTTGCTAAAGAAGATGAATTTTGCTAGTTGACTTGATAATACGATACTCTCCACAATTCTAGGAGGTAAAAGGTAAGAGGGGAAGTATAGGATCAATAACATACATCTCCGACTTAGCTAATGCAGGGATTCACTCGGATTAGAGAAGTATGGAGTGCCTCTGTGTGTCAGGCCCTGGGCTGAGGGCTGGCGAAACCACGGTCAACAGGAAGACCAGGGCTTTGTGATCAGAAACCTGGCTGACACAGCACAGCAAAGGCATTGGGTCCAGCATCCAATAAGCAAATTAGTGGGCGAAATCTGCATTCAGTTAAGTTGAATGATTTCAAAACATAAAATGTCTGCTTTTCAGTTAATTATCTTAGTCTAGAAGATTTGAGGATTTCAGTTCATTTCTACTGTGAAATACATTTAATCTGAAAGCAGCAATCCAACGGGTACTTGAAGAGATCCTGGCTTCAACAACCAGTAAGAACAAATAAGGTTAAATCAATACTAATTGCTTGTATTTGGCTGGTTCATGCTCCCACCTACCTGCCT